CCCTAGTGTCAGGAACAACTACCGAATATGTGCAAGGGGAACCTTTACCTTTAGAGAATAAGGTTTTTAAGAAACATTGTTTTCTATTTCTGTATGCCAAACTTTTCTGCAGTTGGGGTTTAAAAGTAGCCTGCTTAACTTATCTGCCAAAGAGTAAAATATGTTAGTTTTCCGTAGAAAAGGTACATAATCTTCAATGTAATCTGTGCTCCACACTGGACCTGAAGCAGAGGTGGGTTCCTACCAGTTTGCACCTATTCGGTAGAACCGGTTCATCAAATCTACCGAACCGGTTAGAAGAGGTTCCACCAGTGGACCCGGAAAGCAGGCCATACCTACAGAAGAGGTTCCAAAAATTTTTGAATCCCACCACTGACCTGAAGGTATAGAACTTCTCCATGATTTGTGTAACTCTCAGAAATATTTCATCATTTCAGACTTGTAATTTGGGAAACTATTCAGTGTTTTTTTTTAAATGACATGATAGCAGTATTCCAAGGGCTGCCACAAAGAAGAGGGGGTCAAATTATTCTCCAAAGCACCAGAGGGCAGGACAAGAAACAATGGTTGGAAACTAATCAAGGAGAGAGGCAACCTAGAATTAAGGAGAAACTTCCTAACAGTGAGGACAATTAACCAGTGGGACAGCTTGCCTTTGAAAGTTGTGGGCGCTTCATCACTGGAGGTTTTTAAGAGGAGACTGGACAGTCACTTGTCTGAAATAGTATAGGGTCGTGATGGCGAATCTATGGCATGTGTGTTGCAGGTGGCATGCAGAGCCATGTTTTCTGGCACGTTCATTCCCAAACTTCCGGTTGGCTCGTTGGGGTTGTTTTTCACCCTCCCCACGCTCCGGAGGCTTTCCTGAATCCTGGGGAAGGCAAAAAACAGCCCCAAAGATCGTTTCCAGCTTCCGGAGAACTGTTTTCGCCCACCCTGGGCTTCAGGAAAGCCTCCGGAGCCTGATGTGGGGGGTGTTACGCGTGCATGCACAGGTGGGCAGAGAGGATTGAATTGGTGTGTGCATGTGGTCGTGCGCAATAGCACACATGGGCAATTTAGGCATGCTATAAGAAAAAGGTTCACTATCATAGGTATAAGGTGTCCTGCTTGAGCAAGAGGCTGGACTAGAAGACCTCCAAGGTCCCTTCCAGCTCTATTCTATTCTAAATATAACATATATAGGTTTTGTATCCCGATTCCAGGAATTTGGGCAGGAAATGACCATTTTTTTGCCTTTTCTCAAAATCAAAATTATGATCACTGCTGGCTTTTCAGAGTGTAAATACTTTTTTAATGGAATCATACCAGGTGCTTTACAGGTAATTGGTTTGGGCTGCAAGAACAAGACTACTAGATGGCTGCTAAGAAATTTGAACTTTTTGTATCTCTTTGTGGCCATCTAGTGGTTGTTTGTCACAGCTCAAATTTAGTAGCCTTCACAGATATGTTCATCCCTCCCTCCTTTCTGGCATTCTTTTGTGACTAAAAAGTGGAACGAAACAAAAATCCAACTTAGTGGTTTTCAAGATTTCATAGGAAGTGCGCTTGTATTGCTCTTTGAAGCTTCTTAGGAGACCTGTCCACTCTCAGTTGACTTATTCTCTCTGGAGTGTTTGTTCTACGGCAGTAATGGCTAACCCTTTTGTCTTTGTGTGCCAAAAGTGTGTGTGTGCGCACGTGATAGCAGATGCATGTGTGCCCGCACCCATAATGCAATGTGTGCACAACACCTTTCCGTGCGCCCCGTCCCTTGCGCATGTGTGTGCAAACCTCCTTATGCCCCCATGAATTTGCGTATGAAACCCACCCACCCCCCATGCACCTTGCTTTGGGCCTAACAGGCCTCCCTGAAGCCTCCTGGGACCAAAAATGGGCCGGGGGGACACGACTCCCCCCATACATTTGCACGCATCTCCTGCATGTGCGACCGAGACCTGAAAATCAGCTGGCTGGTGGGAGGTGGGCGCACGCATGCACAGTGGAGCTGAGCTGGGGCAACGGCTTGTGTGTCTGCAGAGAGGCCTCTGCATGTCACTTGTGGTAGGCATGCCATAGGTTCTCCATCATGGTTCTAGGACATGAAATCTGTTCACAGTGTAAAATTATATGGGACATGTCTCAGTAGTACAGTATGTGCTTTAAATGGGAATGATCCCATGTTTTATTCTTTATCCCTCCATGGAAAAGGACCCTGGGTGGAGCCATTGCTGGTCCCTTGGAGCCAAGGTGGCGCAGTGGTTAAAAGCAGCACTGCAGGCTACTGCTAGATCAGCAGGTCAGCGGTTCAAAT